CAAGCAATGGATATGAGAAGCAATTTTCTGAGAATGAGAATGATTAATCAATGGAACAGCTTGCCTCCTGGAGTTGTGGGTGCTCCATTGCTGAAAGTTTTCAAGAAAAGATTGGACAACCATTTGTCTGAGATGGTATAAAAACTCTTACTTTGGGCAGCGGGTTAGAGTAAAAGACCTCCAAGGTATTTTCCAGCATTACAATTCTATATCCAGAAGGGATGATCAAGAGTCATTGAGGGGTAACACATAGAGAAATGCTAGATTTAGAGCTCCTCAAATGTCACTTCCAAGTCTCATAGCCGAGGTGCAGTGAGACTGCAGCAGTCTAGTACCAAAGTGTGATTTGTTGTTTATAATTTGTCTCCCTGCCTGTTCAGCTTTGGTTCTTAGGATTACCATAGTTCTGCATTATAATTCATGTCCTCTAATAATGGCTTGTGTTTTGATTTAGTTAAGTTGATTTTTATACAGTGCGAACAATTAGGCTTAACTTTGGGATTGCTTTTGGATCTGTAAGAGGGACAGGACAAAAACAAAAATATTGAATTGATTATAACCCACTAGATCCCATTGCAGTACAACTGAAACATGACTTTAATCCACATTAAGAAATATATGAATGAAACAAAATAATCTCTCATGTACGTTCAGAATTTGAGCAAATATCCAAACCCTTTGTTAGCCGCATGCTGACCTAAGCTGCAAAATGTGCACTTAGGAATTGATTTATGATCCCCCCAAATACATTGATCCCCAGTTCTCAACAGATCTAATGAACAGCAACAGAAATAAAATATTACAGGATCTGCAGTCCAATAACAATTGGAAAGTTACTTGCTGACTCCTGTATTATGGCTATAGCAGGGACCACTTCAACCTCGCCACCGCAAGTCATCAGAACAAATGAGTGATATTTTAAGCCTTCCTAGACTGAGATTGTGACAGAACAATAAATACTAAACACATTAAGTTTCTATAAGTATCTCTATCGGCCCTAGAAGGCAACTATTGTTTGAACACAAGTTTTTTATTCACTTAGGCTAAAGTGGAGTTGCTAGAATTGAGTTCCTTTTGTAGGCTTACCTCAAGGAAGCATAATTGAAATGTATGCAAATACTTGCATGAAAAGTCCTGTACAACTGGTGAGTTGTTACTCTCTCATAATTATTTCTGATGCAGACAGAGTATATACAAAATAATGAAAATAATTAGATTGATAATTGAACAATGTTAAATATTCTAATATACATACAGGCTGATTGTTTCTAGAAATTAATTGCTCTAAGCCTTTAGCACTTTTTCAAAATCTTTTTTGTTTTCTAATTTGGGATTTTGTTGTTGCTTTTAAGGACCATATTACAGGCATTATATAATTTCAGGAATGGAATAGTAAAGAAGCATTACTCACTGTCCAGGTTTAGCTGAGCAGAGAAAGTCACTGATCCAATTCTCTTTTTTTCAATCCTCCTACTCTCTCTCTCTCTGTCTCTCTCTTTCTTCTTTCTTTCTTTCTTTCTTTCTTTCTTTCTTTCTTTCTTTCTCTCTCTCTCTCTCTCTCTCTCTCTCTCTCTCTCTCTCTCTCTCTCTCTCTATATATATATATATATATATATATATATATATATATATATATATATTGAAACACTTCTCTCTTTGTAGCTCTTTTTCCCTGGACTAGGTAGGCTGGTGCAATACTGAATTTCTTAAAGAACTGAAAGTATTTAAAGACCTCCTCTTAACTCCAGCCCTGCACATCCATCCACCTGTTGAAGTTCTTAAAGGAATATTAGCCTCTCAAATGTACACAGCAATAGAGGTGTCACGCATATGATTATGCAGGCAGGTGTATATAAAAAATATGATTTGTAGCCTGCACAATGTTATTGCTTTTCCAATGGTTTCATACTGGCAGTAAGGAATATTAGCAAACATTGGAAAAAAGAAAAAACAAATGTTCTGGATAATATTTGCCAATTCCATTGCAGAAATTTGGACACCAGAATATAGAGTCAATCCATATGAACTCTACTATTTTTGATATATTTATTTTAGTTATATATCAAACGTGTATGGCTGCCATCTCACAAAAAGAGACACTTGACAGTGTACAGCAATTAATAAAACAATAAACATATACAAAGAGTCATTATTATAAATGCAAAAAATCACAAGGCAAGAAGAAATAATATATGTTAAGTTCCAACCAAATTGATATCCAGAGAACTTATGACACAGAGCTAAGAAATGCAGATGCCTTAGAGCAGTGTTTCCCAAACTTGACAATTTTAAGGCATGAGGACTTCAACTCCCAGAATTCCACAGCCAGCAACGCTGGCTGTGGAATTCTGGGAGTTGAAGTCCTCATGCCTTAAAATTGTCAAGTTTGGGAAACACTGCCTTAGAGTCATCAAGGGGGAACAGACACAGAAATTCTAGATTTTAGAGAAGGGTTCCTCAAATGTAACTTCCAAACATCTTAGCTGAGGCTTAGCAAGACTGGAGCAGTCCAGTACTAAAGCATGATTTATTGCTGCCAGTTAGTTCTGGCTCCCAGGATTACTGTACTTCTGTATTGTGATTCATGTCTCCTGACGATGCCTTGGGTTCTGACCTGGTTGATTTGCTTTTTATACAATACGAACAATTGTTCTTGACTTTTGGATTGCTTTTTGAGCACATTTCCCCGAACTACTTTGTCTTTCAAAGCAAGACGGGGCCAAGATGTCAAAAATAGCTTGAATGGATTCATGGATAACTAATGGATACAGAAATGGGAAATTGCTATCTCGAAGAATGTATCTATATTGTAAAAATACCCATATAGGTGCGTACCTTAGTTTGAGATTTCAGTGCCAAAACAAATATCATATTAATAAATTTGGAATACTATTATTCTCCAGACAATTGTTTTCTTTTGTATTAGAAATATATAAAAATAATGATTTTGTTATTGCAAATAAATAAAATATGAGATAAAAAACACTAACAGTTTTTAAAAATTGATGTTCATTTTTTAAAAAGCTTTTCACATTATATCCATGATTCTCTGAATCTTACTATGGGAAGGAGGGATATAGTTATTCACACAAACATATCTATCTATATATATATAGCTGGAGGGCTATTTTGAATTTTCAGAGAATTGGAACTGAACCACAAAGCCACATTACATTATAAAAATTGCTGAAATGTTAACATCCTATGAAAGCACAACCATCAATCATACAATGAATGCTACCACAAAAAACAAAGCTAAAGAAATGTCTACTGATTTTTAAACCAGATATATCAGCAGGGGATGGCTTTAAAAAAATCAATATGGCTGCTGAAACCATGCGGTTGAAGCCCTCTCCTTTTTTTATATGTGTTCTGACTCATGCAAAAAAGGGGTGGGGCTTCATTTGTATGATTGGCCTCCATCTTTAACTTTTTTTTTTTATCTCCTTCCTACTTTTGCCTCTAAAGCTATTTTTCAGGTTGGGAAATGAAATGTGGACAAATGATGGTCTAACATAACATATTACAACAAAAACAATGTATAATATATAATAGTAGATTATTACAAGCTCTCCGTCTAGAATGGCTGAGACGTGGACTTCAGACTGTTGTGTCATTTGGCTTTACAAGAAAGGAAAATAACCGGATTGGCAAGGATTTTTCTGAAACAGAAACTTTTCACCTGTTTCCCATCACAAGAATGAACAAAAGAAAGTTTCACTTGATCATAAATCACATGTCCTGTACCTTAAACTTAAGAAGGAGCTATAATAACAATATAACAGGTTTTATGTTTGCTTGAAGATATACTTTCCATAATTAACATCATTAAAGATGTGAAAGATTGTCATACATACAGACTGAAATAGAAGATATTTTAGTTTAAATATCCTTTAAGTATCCAGCTGATCTTATCTAGGCATGCATTTATTTTTTTCTAACTCTCAAAACTATAAAATAAGGAAAGATAAGCTAAATAAAAACTTATGATTAGCTTTTGTGCACAAATTATTTCTTTCATGAAAATGACTATTGCAGTTAAAAGAAGGTAAGTTTTAATTCCAAAGCAACATTTATTGCTTATTAACAGCATTCTGGCTTAATGCTCGTTCTGTGGCTGACAATAAGATCTTTTTTCACTTTTTCTATAACTTGGAAAACTTGAGTTTTTAACTTATATAACTTTTATAGAGGGAGTAGCACATTATCAGTTTGCCCTGCTATTATTTATAATTATAGGTAATCCTCAACCTATGACCAGAATTTCCATTGCAAGGCAGTTGTCAAGTGTATCACATCCTATTTTACAAACTTTATTGTGATACTTGTTAAGTAAATCACTGCAGTTAAGTGAATCATGCAGCCATTAGGTGAATCTGGCTTCCTCCATTGATTCTGCTTGTTGGAAGCCAGTTGGGGACATCGCAAATAGTGATCACATGACACACACACACCTGGGACACTTCAACTGTCTTAAACACTGTACATACCATTTGTCAAGCTCCCAAATTTTGATCATGTGACTTTGGGACTGCTGTAATGGATGTAAGTATGAAACTGACTGTAAATCGCTTTTTAAAATGCCATTGTACATTCAAATGGTCACTAAGTGAATGATTGTAAGTTGAGGACTACCTGTATTACATAATTTATCATAAAATGGCTGGAAAAGATGTTAAACAAATTGTTACCCTATCCAGGAGTCTTCAAAACTATTTGCAGTAAGGTATTTCCCTTATAAAGATTCACATATTTATGTTCAATTGATCTTGAAAATATGTCATTCAGAAAAAGAATTAAACAATTATAGTTTAAAAAACTGAATGGAAGGAAACAGATTGCTTAATTGCTATTTACAGTTTTTTCCCCATCAAAATGTTATCACAAGACAATATTACATATAATATTGATTTTATTTATTAAGAATTGATATTTTCCATCTTGGACTACATTTTTCTTCAGCCAGTCCTCATCATTTGTTTTTTTTAACAAAATTTGCATTTAATGAACACTTCAAACAGATGTGATCATCTCCCCCCCCCCTTTTTAAAAAAAACAGCTTACTATATAAAAAGATATTATAGGTGTAATAGTTAAGGTGCTGGCCTAGAAAGCAGGGGATTTCATTCAAGGCCTCCCTTAAATATGAAATCCAGCTGGGTCACTGGGTTATCACTCTCTCTCAGCCCCACTCAATTCCCAGAGTTATTGTTGGAAAATAGTAGGCAGGAGTAGGTATGTTTGCTGCCTTGAGTTATAGATATAAAAGTGTGGGATAAAAAAGATGGGATAAAAAATATAATCCTCTAGTGAAGCACATGCTCGTGGACCTTGCATGCTCTGAGGAAGGTGAGAGCTATCCCAGAGATTCAACCATACTGGACAGGTCCCATCTGAGGATCCAGATGGAGTGTGTCTCTCCTGTAAACAGTATGGGGACATATAACTTACAGAAAATTAGACTGTATCAATCCTTGCTTGGGTCAACTAGGACTGTGGTCAGTGTTGGAGATCTTGGACATCAGGTGACAAGTGGGCTATAGGACTCAGGACTATTAGCTGAGCAATCAGGAGCAGGAGCTGCAGGACTATTGAAAGAAGAATTGCTTACCCATCGCAAATATACAAAGACTGAAAACAAAAAACAAATAACAATTTGCTATTACAAATCAAGACCAGTGAGAAGAGGATATTGGAAAAGAATGCACCAGTTCTAGAAGAACTACATCCAGAATCAATAATAATAGGGCAGGGACTAGCATATCAATACAATTTATAATATGAAATAAAGTATTTACAGAAATAGAATTAGAAGAATTGCAAAGGTCTGCCCAGTGTAATAAACCCTGAAGTCTTGCTAGACGTAGCTCAGACAGAAGAGGAAAATGAGGAGTTGGTAATAGAGAAAGCCAGCATTGCTAATGAATCATTCTCATTCCCAAACAAAGCAGCTTCTCCTCTACCTTCTCCTCAGAAAGAACAAAGTCCTGCAATTGAAAAATAAGAGGAACTGAAATGAAGAATAACTGAGCATCTAGAACAGCACAAAAGTAACAGAATGAAGTAATCTGCTTTAAACAAAAACAAAAAAAACCAGTTAGCCAAAGTATTAAAATATGCCAATATTGTAATATCAAATATAAGCAATAGCTCACTGCAAGAAACAAACCAAGTGATGTACAACACAGCTGCAGTTATAACTGAAAATCTTGGATACAAAAGCAACCAATAACAAGAAAAAAACCTAAACTATGTACCACCACTAAAATGGAAGACTGGGCAAGAAAAGCTGAAAAGGAAGGAAAGACTAAATAATATCCAATCCAGAAATAACAACAAGAGACAAGGGAGATCAAGTAAGTCCTGGAAACAGTAAAGCAGGAAATAACAGCCGTAGCTAAGAAAATAGGCAGGTACAAAGCTTGAATTGCACCTTTCAGCCAGAGTCTCCCATTTTAGTCTAATCAGAAAAGTTTTTACCAATTCATTAATGGAGTGACTGCAACAAACCATCCAACATCTGACAAGAAAAAAACAGTGCAGTTCTGGGCACAATATAGAACAATACAAAGAAATACAACAAGAATGCAGCTTGGATAATGGAAGTGGAGAAGGGAAAAAAGTTGAAATGAAAGAACTTCTAATAACAACAGAAATGATAGAGAAAAGGGCAAGGAAGATCAAGAACTGGTCAGCGCCACATGAAAATGAACTGCATAATATTTGGTTGAATCATCTGGCCAGTCTGCACTCACTCATTTCCAAGCACTTTAACAATATATAGCAAGGAACTGAAATTGAAGATTGATTAACATCTGGCAAAATCTACCTGATAATGAAAGATCCAACAAAGGGGGCAGCACCAAGTAGCTACTGGCCAATTACCTGATTACCAACATTAAAATTGCTAACTAGTATGGTAGTAGAGGCAGTCCAACAGCATCCAGTTGAAAACAAGTTATTTCCACCAAAGCAGAAAGAAACAGCAGAGGAATAAAAGATCGGTTCTTAATTGACAAAATGATTTTGGAAAACTGTAAGAAAAGAAAGACCAACTTGAATGTAGCTTAATTGATTACAAGGAGGTATCTGACTCCCTGCCACATGACTAGATAATCAAGAACCTAAAAATAATAGGAGTCAGTAAAAACATCTGAAGCTTTGTGAAAAGACCAATAGCATAATAGAAGGCACAACTGCTAGTCAATGGTAAAATATATTGGGAGAGGTTAATATCAAGATAGGAATCTTTCAGGGAAATTCACTATCACCACTACTGTTTGTCATGACATTGATTCCTCTGTCAATGATACAGAAGAAGTCAGACATGGCTATCAAACATAAAAAACATCTGCCAGCCCCTCTACATTGATGATTTGAAATAGAATCACTACTTAACATTGTCCAAATATATGGATTTTGCACTGGACTTTGGACTGGCAAGCAAGAACTGGTGGGATCACAAATAGACAAAAAAAAAAAGAAAATAAAGAAAATGTGTTCTAGAACTTTAGAATTCAAACAGACAAGCATCTGCCATACAACACTGCAGGCATAATCATGTTGATAAGAAAAAAAAAGTTTGGATAATGGATATTGCAATACCTGGAAATAGCGAAAAGAATAGAAGACAAAGAACTGGGGAAAATCACAAAATACAAAGACCTGTTAATAGAACTAAAACAACTGTGGCAAAAGAAAGCAAAGATAGAACCCATAGTAATAGGTATCTTGGAGCATCTGGAGCATCATTTGAATACCATTGGCATTGACAAAATCATCAGTCAATTACAAAAGGCAGCTTTACTTAGAACAGGTTACATCCTGCAACAATACCACAAGTCTTAAAAGGACCAGGTTTGAAGACGTCTAGCCTATACTATTTACCACACAGAGAAGACCAAAGTCCCCTGGAGTACATAACCACAGTTGCAGAATTATTTGTTTCTTTGCCATTAAATATTATCAGAAGAATTGTGCCCAAGGCTGCACTTTACTAAAGTGTCACTGTAATCTTCCTGAACTATTTAGTTTAGCTCTTTAGATTGGACACTTCATTTATGCGGCAATCTGAAGAGAAAAATGTTGACTTATTGCTTGGCAGCTGATTTATGGTGAGTTGTAAACTAATTATGAGTTCTTATCATGAGGGCTAGGACTTCAAGCTACAAATTCAGATTTCAATAACTGCTATTACTCTTTGAAATTGAATTACCAGGAAACAACTATTAATATGCCAGCAATTTGAGAAATTAAGAGACTGTAGCAAATTGCAATCAAGAACTGTCTGTCTTTCTTTGAAAAAAAATTGGCTTAATTTAGCATAGTGTGAATAAATGTAGACCTCTGGTGTGTAATTATGTGTGTGTGTGTGTGTGTGTGTGTGAGAGAGAGAGAGAGAGAGAGAGAGAGAGAGAGAGAGAGAGAGAGATGCATACAGTGTTAGACATCTCTTAGAAGCCTCAAAGCATTATTTTTTTAAAAAAACAATTATTGTTTTTATTGTTATTACTATTTAATACGGTTACCATCATTACTAAATTCCAAATCAGTTTAAGCTAGGTAGGTTTTACATATTTCTACAGGCGCACACGTTACATCTATATATGTGTATTTATAATTTTAAATACACACATGCACATAGGCAAATATGTTACAGCAGAGCTTTGTAGCTACACCTGCTTTCTATCATACAGACAAATGTATTATGTCTAATTATACTACAAGATGGAGATTAGGTAAATGGCAATTTTGGTTATGAATGTAAAATGTACTAAAACCCTCAAGTTGATCAAGAACATAAAAGAACACTGTTGTATAAAATAACTACTGGATGTTATATCCAAAAAAGCTTCTAGCACAGCAAGTTCTCACAATGGAAATTAAACTGAGGGTCAATTAAGCCCTTCTTTTTGAATGAGCAAGATAAATGATCATCTTACTCATGAGACAACACAATAATTTAAGAAAAGAAAATGAGTAACTTTAGGAACTGGGAACACTGGGGTAATTATAACCAGCAGCTCCTATACTGCCAGCTGCTGCACTGGAACAGCCTATATCAGATATCTAAGTGCCCTTTAATAAAACTAAGATGGCATCCAGTAAATGCTGATCTACAATCACTGTAATTTGTGGGACTGAATTTGTGCCTCCTGGTGATTATTTGAACCTTTAGTGATGCAAGCTAGTTGTCTGTCTAGTTGCCTGTTTTCAAGGGGAAGTCTCAGTGCATCATGACATTGTCACACAAATGATATGATTATGTAATTAGCATTATTCCCATTTTGAAGACTATTGCAATTAAGAAAGTCACATCATTAGGCACAATGACATTGTGACATGGTTGTTACTCATTCCGCCATTACTCCCAGATTCCTAAGCATACTGCTAAATCTTAGCAAATTTCATTCCAGTAAAGTGGACATGGGAAGAGATTACATTACAAAATAAGGTGGAGAAAGAAGCTAATACAAAGTGGTAACTGTATCTGCATAATCTAACAGGTATCTCCATAGGTTCTCTATGTAATATGAGCAAAGATATTTTGAAGGCAGTCAGTCATTTTTACTGGAGTCTTCAGGATTGACCAAACAATAGATAGTAACTGTGGCCTTTGCTAAAAGAGAATAAAAAAGACAGCAATTAGTTTGATATCCTCTGAAGTATCCTATGATATCCTATAAGTCTTTTAGAATAATTGTCTTTACACAAAATTGACAGAAAAGAAAACTTGATGATGGAAATTCCTATCCTATGTAATATTTTAGATTTTTTTAAAAAAAGACTATTTTCTGAAACTTTATATTTTAATTATATAACCTTACTGTCTTAGCTGACAAATATGTGCTTACTAGTTTTTTAAAAACTGTAAACTATACCATCTTAAAGTCTCAATTTTTTTTTTCACTTTGAACTTTACCTTGGGGGACCTTGGTGCACTCTGAGCTTGGTTGTTTTCTTGCACTAGTACTGATGATGTTACCTAGTTTGGGTAATGAAATATCTAAAAGAAAACAATCAAGCTCAGAGAGTACCACTCATTTCAACTCTGATCTACAAATATTATTATTTATTTGAACTTTATATGAACAGAAGATAAGTAAGGCCATGGCTGTGCTATAGGATCCATTCAGCATAAAATATTTATATTGCCAATAACAGAATTACTATTATTGCAAAAGTTCATACAAGGAGGGTAAATACAAAACCATAAGAATTATTGAGAAGAAAAATATTATCATCTGTTCACAACAATGTGAAGTCACAGTTGGTGTTAGTCTTCATATGCATTGAGTTCTTCTCAAGAACCTAAGTACTATTGAAGATGTCTCATTTAACTAATGAATAGACAATTTAATGCTCTTCAGAGGCCTTAACTTTCATTGGTTATGGAATTTATTGTCCAAAACAGCTGATAGGCATCAGAATGCTTGATTCTGATAAGTTGCTGCAGCCTAAATTCACTTGTATCCAAAGACAAGCATACCATATCTTGCAAACTCCAGATGACTTACTAGATGACAAAAAAAGGGTCATGTTATCTTTTTGTTTCCAAGTAGGCCAGATTTTGCAACCCAGCTACAATAGATCTATTTGATAAGGAATGAAATTTGAAGGGAATTTGAGAGTCAAAATTATTGCTATTTGCAGGGTTCCGACACCTTTTTGGGATGGAACCTTGTAGGGTAGGCAAGGCGGGTTGTATGACGTGTGTGAGTTCTGGCACCTTTTTTTTTTTTTTTACAAAAAAAGCACTGGCTATTTGTATGAATCAAATAAAGGACTTTTGAGTCAGAGAGGTAAAATATTGTACCTTCATCAGAATTTAAAGCACACTCATCTTCATTTGCTGAATTTCTATTATCATTTTGGGTATGTTCCTCCAAACATTTTTGACTAGTCGATGGCATTTCTCCTTCAGGACTTTTTGAAAGAATGTTAAGTGATGCTTTAAAAAAGAAAACAGATCCTTACATTTTTATCCATTAAGCATTGATATAACATAATAGAATTACTGATTTCTTGTTGAAATGTGGGAGCAAACCATATATATGCATATATATATATATATATATATATATATATATATATATATATATATATATATATATATATACACACACACACACACACACACATTCACACATGTACCAATACAGATATGTCTGTGCCCAGATATACCATGTATGTCTTTGGAAATATCCATTTGGAATATCCATACTCTTTGGAAATATCCATTTTTGCCAAACCTGGCAGTAAAAATATATCTAATAAAGGCAGTACCTAAGTATATATATGCTTGCAAATGTAGCTTTTGTTCTAAAATATCAGGTGTCTACAATTAAACAGGACAATCTAGGCTTATATATATATGCAGGCTTGTATCTATATAGGCCTGTATATGTACATTACATTACAGAGTGGTCTGATAGTCTGGCAAGATAGAGTAGTTCCCTGTTTTTAGCCAGGTCTAAATGATATTCCATCTTTGACTTTGCACTGTATGGTACTTCTCCAAATTGAGCTGGTGCACAGCTTGAGGGTGCTTCTGGACTCATAGTTCCTGCTCAAGGAACAGGTGGCAGCTGTGGCTAGGAAGCTTTTGTACAGATTCATCTAGTGTGCCAATTGTGCCCTTTCCTGGACCGGGAGGCCTTGCTCATGGTCACTCATGCCTTGGTCACCTTTACATAATTTAGATTGTGATCCTTTGGTCAGTGAAAAGCTTTTTTTAAGATTTATGATTGAAATAAAAAAGCAAGGTCTGATTTCAGACCTAGAGAACTGATTGGTCCATCAAATCTGTATACCACCAATACAAGTCGTTTCCAAATTAAAATATTTAGGGATAGTTATTTCAGCATGCTGCTCATCAATTAAAGAAGACAATTATGGCAAATTGGTAAAGAATATAAAAGTAGATTTAGACCGTTGGAAAAATTTGCATCTTTCATTTCTTGGGAAAATTGCTGCAGTGAAAATGAACATTTTACCTAAAATGATATTCCTGTTTCAGAATATCCCAATTCAATTAGATAAGAAATTTTTCAAGGAGCTGAATAAATTAACCTTAGAATTGGTGTGGTCCAGTTAGAAGGCAAGAATAAAATTAAAGGCATTACAGGATGCCAAAGAGAGGGGAGGTTTAGGTTTCCCAGATTGGGAGCTATATTACCAAGCAGTGGCCCTAACATGGATTAGATACTGGATAACCTTAGAAAATAAAAGATGTTTACATTTAGAGGGTTATGACCTCCAGCAGGGTTGGCATGCTCACATATGGATGGGGCAAAGCAGAAGCCACCAATATTTTTTAAGACATAAGGTTCGGCAAGAATTAATAAAAAGCTGGAATATAGTTAAACATCAATATTACACAAAGATTCTGGCTTGGCTATCGTCATTGGAGGCAGTCACATATCCCAATCTGTATAGGAAAGACAAGGCTATTATATATAAAGACATCTTGACAGAAGAAGGTTATTTAAAACAAAAACAAGAGCTAAAACAACAAGGAATAGACATGGAGTGGTGGTCTTATCTCCAGATACAAGCAAGATACATGAAGGATAAGCAAGAATGGGGTATTAACAGACAAGATATGGGGTTAAATAAAATACTGCTAGGCCCGGAGAAAAAACAAATAAAGAATATTTATAAACACCTGTTGGAACATAAGCTATATGAGGAGCAGGTTAAAGAAACAATGGTGACATGGGCAATTGATCTAGGATATAATATAAATATGGATCAATGGCAGCAAGTATGGGAGAGAAATAACAAAATCACATTGGCAACATCATATAAAGAAAACCTGTATAAAATGGTTTACAGATGGCATCTCCCTCCAGCCAGATTAGCCAAAATGTATAATGGATATTCATCTATGTGTTGGAAATGTAAAAAAGAAAAGGGCACCTTTTTCATGTATGGTGGACTTGTAGAGAAGCACAGGTGTATTGGCATATGGTCTGGGAATGGGCAATAGAAATGAGTAGGCAAACATTCTATATAAACCTGAAGCATTACTATTAGGAATACTAGAGAAAAATGTAAATAAAGAGGACACATATTTAATTATTCACGTGGTTACTGTGGCAAGGATATTATTTGCTCAAAAGTGGAAAGCAATGGAAGTACCGAGTGAGGAAGTACTAATAAAGAAAATTATGTATTACGCAGAACTAGATAGGATAACTAAAAGATTAAAAAATCAGGAAGAAAGAGAATTTTATCGAATATGGAATAAATTTTATAAATGGAGGGGGGAAAATGGAGGTCACAAATAAAGAGACAAGTTAAGATAGAGACCAGAAATGTACAGTTTGTACACAGATATATTATATGTAATTAATGTACAATATGGACTGAGATGTCGGTCAAAAGACAATTTGCCATGTTCAATGTTTTTGGTCCTTTTTTTTCTTTGTACTCAATAAAAACTTTATTAAAAAAAATCTGTATACCACCAATTTCATTAAACTAAACATATAAACTTATAAACAGCTTTCAAATTTCTTTCCTGACTGTTTTAAAAACATTGACATCCCTTTATTTTCCAACTCTTGTAGAAAACAAAAAGAAAAGATTTAAAGAGTAGCATCTGTGGGATTAGTTACAATTGTGCCCAAAATACAAAATTCCATAAATGTAAGAAGTTTAAAGAGTCCCTTCTGTTATTCAGAAAAATTGGCCTAAGTCACCTAGTCTGAGACTAGTCAATTTATTGTTTGTTCAAGACATCACATGTTATACATCTCCATGTAGAATGGTAACATTGTGAGATTACTACTTCATTATTACTTAGAAGTAATGAAATAAATATGACATACCAAAAACAAACTTTTGAACCCTGTATGTCAAATCAAAAACTCCTAGAGCTTACTAAATGTAATGAAACTAATACTTAAGTAGTTATTTCATATAAAAGAGAAGAAATACTTCACATGAGCTTGACTTTTGAGTATTTAACAGTGAAAATTAATTCAAAATATTTCCCTCCCTCTTATAGAAAGCTTCAAAATGATTTAGAACTTTTCTAAATTAAGGACAATATTGACTCTGGTCTTGTGTTATTGATTTGGCAAACATGGATGTAGGTGCTCTGCCTATTCAACTAAGAACTTGGTTTGCCTAGAATATTGAATGGGTGCAGTTACTAAGAATACTTAAATGCATCATAATTTTATGCAATTTGGAGGATCACATCTATGAACGCCATGACTCCAAAATCTCTTCTCTTCTCTTCTCTTCTCTTCTCTTCTCTTCTCTTCTCTTCTCTTCTCTTCTCTTCTCTTCTCTTCTCTTCTCTTCTCCTTTCTTCACCTCTCCTCTGTTCCCTTTCTTTGACTAAAAGGCCTGCTGTTTGGGGATTTTAGAATTATTATTTATAATTTGGTAACTTCTACATTAGAATTCTGTAATGCTAGGTGAAGGACTGTTATTGAAGATACTTCGGAAACTCCATTGATCAGAAATGTGATTGTAAGTAACTTATTGTTGCCAACTGCCCAGAACATATTGTGCAATTATTGAAAAAATTGCATCAATCACCAGCTCTTTTTGAACTTAAAATCAAGCTATTGTTGTAATATTGATTGTGAAAGTCCCATGTAGTCAAATCCATAATATTATTGTTAATACTTTCACCACTGCAACCAGTCTCAGGGACAGAGATTTTGGATTAGTGATGCTCTGGATGAGGTGAGAATGATGCCCATGAAGAACAGACTCTTTGTAAATTCTGCATTCTATGTATTCCCTTATATGATCCATGTTATTCTTTCTGCCAATGAAAATTCTTGTTTTTCAAGAATAAGGTCCATCTTATTCTACCAAATATTTGGAAAATTATTTTCTGGTCTGTTGTTGCCTATGCCTCATAGACATTATCTTTTTGATATTTATTATTGTGGGATTTTTCTTATTTCGGCAATATATTTGTTGACCTTATTACTTAAGTTAAACCTACACTACATGTTAAATAATTGGCTGATCTGCAATACTATGGTGTTACTGTAAATAAGCATGGAAGTCTGCAGGGACCAAGGAAGACAAATGATAAAACATGCATAATGGCATTGTCATATAAATGCTGCAGCTTTTATACTTTCATTTAGCTGAAAGTATATAATGGTGGCATTTATATGAAAACAACACAGTATATATTCACATTTTAAAATAATTATGGTTTGCTGTAGATGGTGCTATATCCATGTTTTGTCCTTCATTTAAAAATTTAGTTTGAAGGCTCCAACAATAATTTATGATTTTACTTACCAGTCTTCCTTTGTCTTAGTTTAAGAAGAATCAAAATAACTGTGACAGCAAAAAGTAGAAGTAGAACAGGAACTGGTATCGCAATTGCCAATAGATTTTGTTCACTGTATGAAGATCTGAAAAAAGATAAATTATAAAGGTCCAGAAGATCCTTTACCAGAATTTGGAGTTTATTTATTCATAGTCCAGCCATAACAATGCATCAATCCTGTCAGACAAGGAATTTCAGCTGGTGGGGTCCAGGAGAAGAGTCTTCTCTGCTGTGGCTCCTGCCCTTTGGAACATCTTACCTGTCCCCTGGATGAGATTGGCTTCTGCCCTCCTGACCTTCTGTAAGGGCCTGAAAACCTTGGTCAGTTGGCTTGGGGGCCCAAAGGGGGGTTTAATGCTGGAGGTGGTTGATGGACCAATAGCAGATCCCACCTTACCCTCTGAACACCTTGTTCCTTCCCTCCCCATCTGTTTACCTTAACTTATCATTTTATTGCTATATAGATTTGCATTGTTAATTGCTTTTAACTATATAAGCCACCACAGTTGCTTTGGGGCAAGATGGACAGCAAATAAAATTAATAAATAAATAGTCCAGATTAAGACATATAAAAATAATCAAAAGTTAGAAGAAAAGCCTGAAATAGTTAATAAGGCAAGGAAGGAACCAAATGACTTCTGTAAGCCATATCTATTGATATTTTGAAACCTTCTTGAAGTATGTGGAAATTGGCCAAATACTGTATAAGAGGAGAATTGGCATCTTGATCATAAAAGGACTTAAATACATGTTAAAAATTTATCACATATGCTGTTAAAATGTCTATTGTACATTTAGCGTACTACCAACCATCAGAAAATTTAACTGTTCTCCTGATGCAGAGGACTCTTTATCAATCATGATGATTCCACGTAGCACTGAGGAAAAATGTAGATGATAATATTGAATGCTCTGGCTTTTAAGAACTGTATCTGTGCCTCTTCATTCTATTTTTTGAGGGGGGGAATAAGTGGTTACCTCTTCGAGCAAGAGAATAGAAATTATAACTGGTGAGTTAAGACCACCTGGAAACCTCTGGAAAACTGTTCCAGAATGCAGCATTGTGAAAAGCAATGGGCCTGTGACACCCCTATTAAATGAACTACCTTACATTGGTTGCTAGTTTGCTTTTGAACCTGATTAGAGGATTAGAATGTGATTAGAGGATTAGAGTATGATTTATGAGGTCCTACATCACCTACATCACCTAGTACAGTGCATGTTGTACTTTAACAATAAAGGTTGATTTGATTTGATTTGATGGACTTTTCTTGTGGTGTTAATCTAGTCACCTTGATCCAACAGGCACAGCTTTGGCACATCTTTGATTAAGCAGTGCCATCTATAGGGATCTAGGTAGTGTGCCTTTTCTGGCAAGATGCCAATGCTCTGAAATGTGGTTCCCCCAGAAAGGGCAATATTTTTTATTTAATTGGAGGAACGGTTATTTTTTATCTCAGTTTATGCACCTGATGGCATTTTGGAGGACTTTAAATGCCTGACTCTTCTTTCAGGCTTTGGGCTAATCCTTAACTTACAACTATAATTGAATCTGAATTTATGGTTGTAAGTTGATGTGATCAGAAATAATTTTTTGCCCTTTTAAGAGCAGTAATTAAGCAAACGATGTAGTTGTTGGGTGAACCTATTCATTTGAAACAGAGAAAAAAATGAAAGCATTACATATTATGGTCATGCGTTATAAGCCTCCCAGAATTGATTGGATTTGGGCCACATTTAAGCCAAATAACATTCATATTTCATTTTTTTATTCCCTCTGTTTCCAGTATAGCTAGTCCTTGACTTACAACCACAATTGGGGCCAGGATTTCTATCACACATTGTGATGGTGGTAAGTTGAGGCACCCACAGGACCAGGCCTGTTTTTACAACTATTTTTATAGTGATTGTTAGAATCAAAACAAAGATTACTTAACTGATCAAAAATTACCTTTGAATGATATGGGAACTGCTAATTGGTTTGATCATAGGAAGGTATAGCACCTTAGCTTTAAAACTCTTAATTACTGCAAGGATGTGTTTGTTGCTCTTCATGTTAAATATGCAATTATTGCATTGTAGACTTTTTAGGCATGCAGAGAAAGATCTGAGGAGTGAAGCTTCAAGGAAGAAGATTACTGGAAATAAATGCCAAGATATTTAAAGGCCTTTACCTGCTCAGTTCAATTGCTGTTGATCTTCCAACTGTGGGGATGATTAGTGTGCTGCAGTGTGAACACATCTTGGTTAGAGCATTATTAATTTCTAGTATTTTAGGTTGGCAATAGGAAGCTACTGTGTGAAGCTTGTGGTGCAACTCTACTTGAGATACACAGAAGATTACCCATCATTAGCATATAGCAGAATGGAGATTTTTTTTTTCGGGCCAAGGAAAGGGGAGTGGAATTCAGCTTTATTAAATGCCTGAATAATGAATACCATTGATATAAAATTAAATAATGGGAATGGGAGAACCCTTTTCAACTGTTAGAAATTGGAATAAGGTCAGACCATTTTTCACTATTTGAGTATTGGATTTGCTTTGCAGTACCTTCACGCAACATCATAAATAGAGTAGAGTGGAGTGAAGTGAAGTGGAGTGGAGTGGAGTAGAATAGAGTTGGAAGGGACATTGTAGGTCATCTAGTCCAACCCCCTGCCCAAGCAGGAGACCCTAAACCAGGGGCCCCCAACCTTTTGGGCATCAGGGACCGGTTCTGTGGAAAGATATTTTTCCACGGACTGGAGGGTGCATGGTTTTGTGTGCTGCCTGCATCCCGTGGATGGGGCTTTGCTTGTTTGTGCGGACTGGTTGCTGGCATGCCACGCCCAGTACTGATCCACGGACCAGGGGTTGGGAATCCCTGCTCTACACCATTTTTTTTACTAATTGCCCAAACATGCAATCAGTAGAGGTAGCTACTAATTTTTGCCAAAACCACTCATGAGGAATTGAGTCAAACTCTGCTTTCAGAGTGATAAAAGAAACCAAAGAAGTAGCCTACTTCACAAGAAGTAGTGCAAAATGATGCATTGTTCCTCAGCAGAAAAACCTGTTCAGAGATTGGCATATTCCACTGTTAAAAGTCTTTCTTGAACCATCCAATCAACCATCCAAGTTTATGGTTAAGAAATTTGTGTATACTTATTGGGAAAATAAACTGGATGGTAAGATGATGATACAGATTATCTACTTTTTGCTTATCTTGTAGCAGAAACCACATTTTGTTTTCTAACTGAAATGTACATCTCCACCAATATAATAAGACATAAGAAAGGAGTGCCATCTACTGGCTCATCTTTAATTAATTAATTAATTACAACCCAAGAATTATTTCCAATTTTTTCTTAGATATGATATGAACAAGTATGGTTTTTGGTTAAGTTGTTTGAGAGAATAGATATATGAATTCCAAAGTTTAATGCATTTTCCCCCTGTTTGTATATTCCAGTAATGCTACTGTATTCCAGTAATGCTAGTATATTCATCCTGCTGGTATATTCTAGTAACATGCTATAAAATATTAGTACTTAATATATTGGTGTATAAGGCCATCTGTGGGAAACCTGACTTTCAAATTTTTAACTAAAATATAAAAAATATACCACCCATATTTTCATGATATTTTTGATAAAAAATTGAGGATGGACTTACTTGCAGACATATATGGGAAATATGAGTACTTTAAACAAGTATTACAGTATATACTTGAGTATATATACTCTTATTTTAGGCGTATTTTGACAACTAAAATTCTTTGCTTATCCCTGACTATATCTGGTATATATTTCAGGAGAATATTAAAATATACAAGACAGGTCAGCATGGTTGATTATGAAGCTGAATTTTAAAAGTAGCACAAACTAAACCTCAGAACTTTGGGTGGTATTCAGACAGCCATGCTCTGAACAGGCCTACTTGAAAAAATAGAAATAAATTGAGTCCAAATCCAAGTATTTAGTTACACCAGTGTGGGAAGCACTTAAATAATATGTTTCTGTATTTGGGTTCAGCTCTTTCTTATGCTATTCAATCCAGTTTCTTATTTTTTCCTGGATCTTATTTTTCAAAGGATCCTGGTTAGGGATGTCTAGTTTGGAGAAAACTTGTGATAAAATGTTTGAAGCTTACTTTTCAAAAGCAATTCTTATCACTAATGAATGGAAAATGTTTTAACTAGAAACCATCTGTGTTCATTAACTATACCTTTTTTTGTAGACTTCATCTGTAGATGTCACATGCCAGTACGAAGGTGTAGTCTGTGATTCATATATAGTTTGGGTATCATTTAAGATATTAGAGAAAACTGATTCTGTTTTAAAAATAAAATAAAATAATGTTATAGCTTCAAATTCAAAATGTTTCTGAATCAAAGTGAAAACTTCCTTGTTTTTTATATATTAAAAACCACCCTTCCATCTGAGTAACATTATTTGGAATTGTTAGAAACATATCAGAATTGCAGCCGACAGGAATAAATGTTGGAAACATCTAAGGGGCCTTCTAATTCTTATCTTTTGTTCTAGAAAAAGCAGTGGTAGAGGAATATGATAAACACTATGCAAAGGCTATTTACAGGTCTGCCTATCTCCCGTCGTCTTTACTTGTCCACCAGATCCAACAAGGAAAGTGTGATCTAAGTCCCTTCCATTAAATAACATGATCTTGTTGGATCCCAGAATCATGACTTCTCTGTGGCAGAATGCACTCTCTGGAGATTAAGATAGCCCTAATCCTGTTAGCCTCTAACTTCTTGCCTACAAAGCATGTACTTTACCAGTGATTTTCAGCTCTTGTTTTAACGAACATGTAAACATTCTACACTGCCATCAACTGTACAAAAGTTAATGCTAGTTAAACAACATTAACAGGACTGCAAGTAGAATCTCACATAATTGGATGTTTTGCCATTTTTACAGACAAAGGATAATTCTAATAACCATATTTATATATAGAAAGATTTTTCTTTTGGGAAATTTATTTTGAAAGTTTTCTTTTTTCCTATTTTGTTAAAAAAAATGCAAAGTTACCACAGGAAAAAAGGTCAAATTCAACAGTTTTATCATTTCTGAATTTTAGATGGGCCTTTAAGATAAGGAAAGCTATATGTCTTGACAAGTTATACTATGCTGAATTTGATAATCCCCTCAGGCAAATTATAGTCAGAAGAGATTTTGGGAAGTTAGTATTAAGTCTACACATTTTCAAGGAATTACAGGTAAACAGACTTTTTTCAAATTCGCATATGATTCCATATTTTGGGAAGCAGCTTCATTTAATAATGGAATTTTGTCTGAATTATGAGTACGAAAAAAACTATTATTGCAAGCATAAGCCCTTGACTATCTTGAGCTAACAGATAATCTGAACAAAAGAAAATGGCTTGATGCATCTATTAAGTGTAGACAAATAGAACTACAGAATGCTCAAGCTACTTAACATTAATTTAAATCAAGTACAGGCTGTTCTTTGTTGATATATATGCATTACAACCAGCTCTGACAGTTCCACTGTTACCATTGCCATGCCATAAGATACCAAACAGCTGATGGTCATTTTAGGAGTTGTGGCTCAGCTCTGCTCTCAACCAGTCACAAAACTGCAGGAAATCTACCAAATGAAACATGAAAGAATAGTATACAAAAGGGTTGAAATGAGAGATGGTGGTGGTAAAAGTGAGACATAAAAAGTCAAAAAGAACAAAGATATTGGTAGGACGATTTGTCCAATGAGCAGAGAGAGTCAACCACTTTAACTTCCTTCCAAAGAATGAGGAAAATCATCATGGGGAACATGCTAGTTGAGAATGTACTTCCAAGGAAGAGCAAGAAGAAGCTTATGCCCAGGTGCACCCTCAATTTAAGCTGATGGGTGATAATTAGAATAACATATTTGCCTGGAGCCAACAGCATGGAGTCAGAAAATTGGATAAGAATAAGGGATTGTACAATGAAGAATCAGTTTCCTTTCTTCATTTATTTTAATTCTGCTCCTTTGCAGTTTTCTTTTGTGAGGCCACAATTAGCTTTTACAGTTTTTCTGTTAAGGCTTACCCTCCACAACCTGCAGTTGTATGGTTTTTACACTTGCATTCTTGTCCAATTTTCTTGTCCCACATACATAGACTCCAGAGTCTTGTCTTTTCAAACCATTTATAGTAACACTGAAAGTTCTTGAACTATTTCCATTTGTCATAATAATTTGATGACTGTGCTGTCTATTCTTGCTTTTGCCCACTATGGGAAAACAACCAGTACGGGTCATCTTGCACAAGAATGTCTTCATTTCCAGCATGGGAGTTTCAGATGGACATTGGAGCTCCACTGATCCAGTCAGCTTACCCCAAACAATTTGAGGGGATTTGGGCAAATACTGGCCTGTTTGGAGAAAATAAGCCATCAGAGCTGATTATGTATTAATTTTTCTATCAGCCTAAAGCAACTAGTTCAAAGAGTATTTAAGTACTTTATTTGCTAAAACAAAGTCAAAGGCAGGACAGATAGCAACAAAACAATTCCAGTTATACATTCCAAATGCAAAGCAAGAGGAACAAATAAATTAGTATGCCTAACACTATTAATTGCTAATCAGTCACAGAAACTCTTTTAACATTTTTTCAGAGTCTGGGCTTTGAACAAATACCATTAATTTAAATCATTCTAAAGACTTGCACTTTGGGGACCAGATATCAGAGATGTTTAGCTATGTCAAACTGCTTCAGTTTCAATCAGATAGTTTGGATTTTGATCATTTTGATCATTCCCAGATTACTCAAATTGGAATATCAAAAAGACATGAGCTTGGAGATAGATGAACAATTATTATTTAAGATCAGTCAAGTAAGATAACACCAGAGCAACATCTCTTTTATTTGTTTGTTTGTTTGTTTGTTTTTCCAATTTGCACCTAGTTTAATTAGTTCAATAGTTCACAAAGTGCATTAATTCATTGTTTCTGCCAGAAAATGTTGTGAACTAAATCAAACATTACAGAATCTTATCTCAATGCCATCTGAGGGGTTTTTTTGTTTTTTATTGCCCCCAGACTTAAATGTTTGATCCTGTTCAGTTCTGGTTTGTTCAAAACAAAGCCCTAAAGATAAATCTATCTATTCCTTAATAAATCACATGATAACTTCCCAATCTTGCAATATAAGTCATTATAATTTATTTGTTATCAGTGCTTCTAACCACTCAGGCAAACTCATTAGTAATGACTTAATACATTCAAATATTGAGCTAATAAATTCAAATAAATAAATAAAATTAACAGACTCCCTTTGTGATCTGGTTTTATGCCCATCATTACCAGACTGTGATAACCTCAATATATCTTTTTAATAACTTTATTAGTAACATACTGTCACATTTAATTTTACATTTTTAAGGACTATCTCATCCCAGTCATTTCTGCCCATTCTTTTTTGGCTGCTGCTGCACACTGCTGGCTGATAATCAAGTGATTATTCACTAGGACTCCAATGTCCCTCTCACAGTTGCTGTACTTAAACCTTTGGTTTTTCCTGCTTAAATGTAAAATTTTGATTTTCTCCACATTAAAACTCATTTGGATAGGGCCCATTGTTCAAGTTTGTCAAGATCTTTTTGGATCCTGAGTTTGTCTTACAGGGTGTTGACTATTTCTGCCAGTTTGGTGTCATCTGCAAATTTGATGAATTCCCTTTCTATTGCCTCATCTAAGTCATTAATAAAGATATTGAAGAGTACTGGGACTAAGACAGAACCTTGTGGTACCCAATTGCTTACTTCTCTCCAGGTGGATGTAATACCATTGAAGACTACTCACTGAGTATGATCTGTCAGCCAGCCTCAGATCCATCTGATCTTGTTGTCTATCCCACCTTTTTCTAGCTTACTAAGCAGCAGGTTGTGGTCTACTTTGTCAAATGCCTTACTGAAGTCTAAGTATACTATGTCCACAGCATTTTGCTGGTCTACTAATTTAGTCACTTTATCAAAGAATGAAAATAAGATTGGTTTGGCATGATCTGTTTTTGACAAACCCATGCAGGCTCCTGGTTATAACTTTATTTGCTTCTAGTTGTTCGCAAATCTGTTTTTTTTATTATCTTTTCCAAAATCTTCCCAGGTCTTGATGATTGGTCTGTAGTTTCTTGGGTCTGTTTTTTTTCATTTCTTTTATGCTTTTTTTTAATAAATCCCTTGAAGCATTGTGAACTGGACTTACAAAAGTCTAGCAATACACATAAACACAATCCAAATGTGTAACTTTACTACTGCAATCAGTAGTATGTAAACATGGTTAAATATGGATGTCACTTGGTTCAAAGAGTATAAAGGAATTTATAATTTTGTATAAAATAATTTCTTAAAAGGCAGAGTTAGTACTATTACTCAATAAGTTGCTTATTTTATACCTTTGAAACAAGTGACATCTATATTTATCCAAAATTAAGTTTATTAAACAAAAAATATTAGTAGTACTAACTCTATTATTACTACATGATTTTGTAATATTTTAGTATAAGCCACCAATAGGGTACACATACTCTTTGGAGAAAAATACATTTATAATATTTACTGACCTTCTAAAATTGTTAAATTCACTCTAGCATATAAACCATTATATATCTTGCCAATGCCACATCTATAATAACTGGAATCTGTCTTTTTCAGCTCTCTTATTGTCACTTGCAAAATCCCTTGCTGAGGGTTGTTGTACATTGACACTCTTTCTTTGTAATTCTGATCAATGAAAGCATTGCTAGAAATGATAGTTTGACAGCTTATATGTAGAGATTCCTTGCACAAAAATTTTCTGTCGTGTCTATTCACTGATGTGGTTACATAATAGCATTTGATTGTCACTGATCCACCAACATGACTTATCAGTAGCCTTGGTCCATATAATGTGCTTGAAACTATTTGGAAGAAAAGAAGAAGGAATGCAGTTAGCACATTATCCAAAAAAAGAAGAGAAAGATAAATACAAGATTTACAAGAAAGTATTTGAAAGAAAATTAATAATCTTAACCCAGATCCAGTTAATAAATTAATCAGATAAACCCTTAGTAATCATGAATTGATAGTACATATATTTATTTTCAGTTTATTTGATCTTAGAGAAAATGATTTATTCAAAGCCAAAATACTTAGAACGTAAGATCATCTAAATGGTTTTACACTATGCTAAACCCAGTCCTTCATGACATAATCATCCTGTTTCTTTTCCAACCCAATTTATGCTGGAGAAATCTCATAATAGGTCACTATTAGTCCTCATTGTACTAATTAGTTCTCATTGTAAACAATGTCCTTGCAAAATTATCATGAAGGGCATAGCTTCCTTTATTAAGGTACTATAGAAGGATCACTTTGAATGGATCACCATTTTGGGAATGCTGTAACAATCTCTGGGCAGTATTCTGAACTTAGTGATCTATATGCAATATAGTTTCCATGTATCTTGATTATTGATTAATAGAAACTGTATGTATCATTAGATCCAGGATGTTCCTGAAATGCTGAAATGGGTTGAACCACAGTTACTTGGTCAATTTTGGAAAAGAAAATGGAAAGGATGGAGAAGGGTAACAATTCTAGTCTATGCCACATGTTGCTTATTACACTTATTGCCCTATAATTTCATTTGATAATAAGTACTGGAGTAGTACTGGAGTCAGTGGGACTATCTTATATTATTGCAACACTTCTTTTACAAGAAATTATAGTAATATGCATACATATTTAAACATTACTAACTAATACATTAAAAGATAATCAACTAGCAAATATTTAATTATTTGAAAAAACCCAACAGAAAAAATTATAGTTTGCTAAATCTTAGTTTATTTATAGATTCTTTAATGTAAATATAAATTTCTGAAAAAATCTAAGAGCCATTTTATTTAATAGTAAAATAAACATTCAAACTTATAGGAACTGGTTTAAGAAGAATAAAAGCTGAGGTGGATTCTAGAAATAGCAATGTATTAGCCATATTGATTAAGGAATTGTTTAGTCCATAAATTAACCAGTTTGGTCTAGTGATTAAGGCACCATGCTAGAAAGTAGGTGACTGTGAGTTCTAATCTCACCTTAGCCATGAAAGCCAGCTAGGTGACCTTGGCCCAGTCCCACCTACCTTATTTGGTTCTTGAAGTGGGGAAAATAGGAGTAGGGAGGTGTATTTTGCTGCCTTGAGTTATTTGCAAAAATAATAAAAGTGGAAAATAAATAAAAATAAATACACAAGTAAAAGCTTGAGTGGTTCACAAAGAATGAACTCCCAAAATTAGTTTAGGAGTTGCTTTTCCCCCATTGCTGTTTAAGAATGCTATGAGCTTGTCTTATTCACAGAATTATCCAGACGAGTCATCTTGGTTTTTTTCCTTACTTGTTCTTCCCTTATTTTCCCTTCCAGTGAAAATCAGTTAAGAAGAAAATGGCTGAATATATTATACCTGGTACCTTTTGATAGCGCTCTATTTGTAAGAATCCTACATCTAACGGCTGAATGAATATTGATTGGGTCATTAGTGTCATTCTTTCCTAACATGTGAGAGAAAAGCTAAGGAAATAAAAGTTCTGGCTACTCACCATGTATCACAGTGAACAAAACAAAGATGATCAGCATCCTGCTTGAATTCAGAAATAGTCAAGAAAAAAAATATCTGAACTGAATGGTAGAAACAGAACAGATTCCAGGCTGTCTTGCAGTACCTGATAGAGATATAAAAATCATTTCACTTATTAGAGATCAGAAAGAAAAGAAGTGGTGCCCCATTCTGAAGACGGGTAGTTCAATTTTTCTCTATCCCCAGAAACCTCTGAAATTTGCTGCCACTTTACATTAGAAACTATATGAAAACTACAGTATACAAAAATAAGTTTAATACTGCTTTGAAAAACAAAGATTTCCATCCAAATTAGAAAAATATTGGTCTGTAACCAAGGAATGGTTTTGCCATCCATCATTTTGCATCGCCCACTGTGCCTTTTAGTCCTATTGACACCATTAAGGGGAGAGAGGGGGAGGGAGGGAGGGAGGGAAGGAGGGAGGGAGAGAGGGAGGGAGGGAGAGAGAGGGGGGGAGGGAGAGAGAGAGGGGGGGGAGGGAGGGAGAGAGAGATTCAGTGGAATTCAGTATTTGACATTCACACAGAAGCTATGAGACATTTAATTAAATGCTTTCTACAGAAATAAGTAGTTTTCCCAAAGGGTTTTTTTCTTCCAAAAATTCTTCAAATTCATTTGTAAGATCCATCTTTCAGTCCCTATTTTTTGTTGCTAGAACTTCTAAACAACATTGCCAACAGATGAATGAAAACAATATTTATGTTCAAGATGTTATAATCATCAGGACATCTTCATCTGAATTGAAATATTTCTTTTTTAAAGTGCTATTAAAGTATTCCTAAAAGATGCTCTTGCTTCAAATTCTCCTAAACTGAATTCCTGAACATAAGTAAATACTCAAGATAAGCTTAATATGAAAACAAGAGCTTATTTGAATTTACAAAGAGAGGAGCAGTTAATATATTTCTAGAAATCCATGGCTGGTCCAACAGTATATTGAATCCTACCAGCAGCCTAACAATTTCTCCTAACCAGTGCTTGGCTGCACATTATCTAGAGCAGTGGTTCTCAACCTGTGGGTCGGGACCCCATTTGGGGTCGAACGACCATTTCATGGGGGTCGCCAAACAACACAGTCCGCCATTTTTCCCCCTTTTCCTTAGCTGTGCTACTCCCTTTTATTGTATTGGCTTTTGAAAACCAATAGAATAGACTCTCTCGAATAGAGTCTAATTCTATTGGCATTCAAAAGCCAATAGGAATTGTCCAGGCTGTCTCTGCCCTGCTGAGCCCGCCAAAAGCCCCATTCTGCAAACGGTGCTGCAAGTTGTCTGCAGTGAAGGCGAGCTGTCTGGAAGTTTCCACCCCTCCCTGCTGAGCAACTACTAAAAATGTAAGTAAAAGAGGGCCAGGGGTGGGAGGTGGGAGGCCGGCGGGCACAGGGATGGTTGCTGGCGTGTGTGGGGCCCGGCGGGTGCCTTACCTCCCTTGGGCTGGGCCAGCTGGTGGCCCAGCCAGTGGTCGGCTTGCGCCATCTCTGCCGCTTGCCTGCTACGCCTTGGCTGGCGCAGGGGGAGGCACCACGCATGCGCGGCACTCCTGATCAGGAAAGTCCTCGACTTACGACTAGTTGGGTAGTCCTCGACTTATGACTGGTTGGGTAGTCCTCGACTTATGACCGCTTGGGGTCACCCGCATTAAAAAGGTTGAGAACCACTGATCTAGAGCAATTAACCATGCAGTCAGATTCCCCCCCCCCCGAACTCAGAGCTATTTAAACAAATGATCTTATTCAGGTCTGGGTCCTTTGGTTGCTTCTCTCTGGGTGACTAAATTGGGTGCAGTTACGCTTTACATTTCAGTCTCAATCAAGTCAAACTCAAATCCCACATGTTAAAACTCAGTTTCGCTATGCTCCATATCCAAACTCTTTTCTCTAAAAGTAAGTAATGATTCATAGCAAAAGTTCATATTTGACCAGGTACAGCACATATTAACACCCAGCCTGTATAGCTCAATTGGACCTGAGGCTCTCTACCATATAAATTAATCTCTCCCCATTTGCTCTAAGGCCTAATCTTCCTGTAAAAATTAATTAAGAATTCTTTAATGTTTCTATATGCCCTTGTCTCAAATGCAAAGAGCAACCATTTAGTATTACCTTTCATCTCTAAGGAAAGAAACCCTTATTTATTGGAAGGTGAGGTAAGTTGTAGGCAGTGATGGAAAAACCCCTTGCCAAGTAGAGTAACTCATGTTTAGTTCCAGTTTTTTTATGCAAGCATTCTGTCAGGCCGGAATTCTGTCTAGCATAGCTTGGTCTTCTATGGATAGCATGGCCATTTAAAAGGGGAAAGCAAGAGCCATGGCAGTCTACTTCAACAATTTACAGAACACATCTGGGAATCATCTTGATACAACCTTTGCTGCTATCATAAGATAAATTGTATTCCATGAAAATGTCATAATTATTTCTAAATTTACAATATATCCATACTTACTATGACAATCTAATGCAAATCTGCACACTATTTTTCTCCTTTTTTGATAAAGCATAAATGAGTTGGGTAATTTAGAGCACACACTAAAAACTATGGGGTCAGATCCTAACACAGCACATATCCAGGGCAAATTTATTTATTTAGTTATCTAGCCTTCCAAAAATATGCTTAGGGGTGCCAGTTCGTTTGCCCATTTAAAATGGAAACAGCAGAATGTCATATAAATACTTTGAATATATTGAAAAATAGCCTTGATAAAATTGGGTCCTTGGTTTGAGCACATATGGCTGAACCTATTTACTTGATGTCATCCTATAATCAAGGTAGTTTACTTTCAGAAAGGGCCAAAGTGACTGTTGCAATGAGGCTCTGGAATGCCTAATCCTAATTCTAATCTAACCAACTTTTTCTTTTATTAAGTCAATCAATTTGAATTGAAACTGGAAAATTGTCTGGTTTCCTATGCCAAAAGTGGACAACCTGCCCCAAGTCCCCTTTTAGTGACCTTTGGAATTATCTTTGACCGTGATTGCTAAAAATTGGCAGTATTTTGTGCCTTGTTGAAAAAGGAAAAAGAGACTGGCAGGATAGATCTTCAAACAGGATTATTAAAAACTTGCATCCCCAAAACAAGCCTCATTCTTATGTCTGGAATAGCCCCATTCATTTTGCTGGCATTGGTCTCCAAGAAATAATTGTGCTCCTTGTTCATCAAAACTTGCTTGTTCATACAGTATCTAAGACTATTGTTCAAGTTAAGATTCCTTCTTCAAAAGTTACTATGTGAGATTCACTTTTGTGGCTACTTTTAATGAAGTAATACTTAGTAAGATTAACATAATAGATAGTTACAGTAGTGGCCAAAATTGTGGAAAAAAAGTGTACAGTAGAAATGCTACCTTTGGTTAAGTTTCCACCAATTTTTCTTCTAATTTCTTTATAACTGTAGCCTTGTTCACTTAATAATACTATTTTACATCACTTTCTGGGCAACCAGTCAACTCTTTGCACCATTACTTTAATTTTATTACATTTTACAAGCTCACTAAATGAAAGAACACAAAACCCCAACCAACTTGATAGCAATCATATAACACACTGACAAATGTCCTCCTCTCAACTTCAATACATGACATCAATAACTGAATCCTACTATGATCTGATTGGCTCATTGCCAAAACAAGATGACACCTGATTGGCTCTCTAAACACTCATGCTCATTGGCTACAATTAGATGAAGGAAAGCTACCTGATATCAACCTAAGCAAACTGTGCTTCCTTTTTCTGGTTATTTGGCTATAACTTTTCATAGAATACAGTACAGATATTTGAACAAACTTTGTTGCATTACATTCTTGATTAAGTTATGTTTCCATTGATATATAATTTTATGGTACTACTCCAAAAAAAAAAAAAGTGGTGCTATTAGCCATCAAACCTCAAAAATACACTTTTCCCAAAAGGCTTCCACAATTTTGGCCACTACTGTGGTCTTCTTAATCAGTGTAATCTTATGCATGTTTACTTAAAATAAATATCCTTATGATCAAGAAGTCTAAGATACACTTATGTTGCAATCTTGTGCAAGTGACCACAGAAGTAAAATTCATTCTATTCAGTATGGCATGCTGTCAACACACTACTAGTTTTAGGAAAAACCTGTTTTATAAAACACAATATACATTTTAAATATAATTTATCATATTCCACTTTGCAGTAATTTCAACATGACATTATTCAGAAAAAAATCCTTGTTTGATATTTCCCTTTCATATAGTTTAAAAAAATTGCTTTCTCACTTACCTAATAATGATTATTTCACATAACTTTATTTTCCAAATATTGTCTTTGATAGTTGCATCACTGACCTAGAAGTCCACAAAATTATAAAATTTCAGCTGCATTTCAAAATATTTTCTTACTATAGATATGGCTAATTTATTTCAGTCCAGCCATTGAAAAATCTCTGTTTCATGCTATATCTTCTTCAGCAATTGGGCTACAAAGGAAAACAGTTGCTTATTTAAAAGAGGAAGCCAGACTTTTGGCTTTATATATCTCAATTACCACTGTCTGTAGTCTAATGAAGTTCTTGATTCAAAAGAAGAGGAAGGACCTGAGATCATAATGAAACAAAATCCCCTGAAAATAGACAAGCTGCAGAATTTTTTTTTAAAAAATCTAAGCCCAGTAACATATACTGGCACTTATTTCACAAGTCAGCAACTTAGTTCATAAGGTCATTTCCCTTAGTACTCACCACATGTTCTGTTTACTTTTTAGATTCTTATAATTTTTTAAAAATGATTTTAGATTCTTTTGATTCAAAACAAACAAACAAGCAATACCCTGAGAATGTAGGAAACTGCAAAAGCTCTTCTGCATTATCTTTATTTCTAAAAGGTTTCTGAGCCTCCTGTAGACTACTGGGGTATTCTTAGACAAGAAAAAGGATGAGGAGATGCTGCCTGCTACTTTAGGAAAATACCTACTTAGTCACAAAAAGGTCAAACAAAGGAGACATGGTAGAGAGAATTCTTGAAATTAGAGAACTTTCCAATTGGCTATTAATTAAATTGATGCTTTATGGCTGACCATATCACTATGACAGCCATTTGATATATATGCAAAATCCTGCATGTGGCCATTTTGTGAGAGTGCTCCTGATATGTCTCAACTTTCTAAATGTGCCTCCAGGTCCTCAAATTTGCCTCTTTTGGGGTCTTCTATAATTTTTAAAAGTGGGAAGAGATCCTGAGAGAAAAAAAATTATTTAAGCAACATTGCACTTGAACATTTATCAGTTCCTTTTCTTAGTCCTAACTCTTAATGATCTACAAATAGAGGATTTTAGTGGGAGCTTGTGGTATTTTTCTCAAGTAAATACAATAATACTGGGTGTGAGTGAGGGGGAAGCCAAGTGAAAAGATGATGGGAGAATTTCCTTGATATCTTAAATTAGTGTAGCAGGGGAATAATCTCACAATCACTTGGGAGAACCAATAAGCCTTTGGAAAGCGGAACAATGAATACTGAGCGAAGCTCAGGATATATTCTTCATTCTGTACACATTGCGTATAATAACTACCACATTTCAGGCCTTAAATAGAAATAATAGCTGTACTGGCAAATGCCACATTAGATATTTGATGAAAAAAGGAAACCTCAGTTTTATATAGTCATAGGATAAATCAAAGGCAGCTTCACATGTGATCATGTATTACTTTTGATGTACAGGCAAACAAAATAATTTCTACCATCTGTAACCCTAGTTTGCCAGCAATTGCTTGCTAATACAATTATAAATTGCATTCCTTTTGCATAATCAAAATTGCTCGAGTCTCTTATAAAAGGAACAACAGCAATTTTAGGTATATTTAGGGATATTCCAACTTGCAGAAGACTTCTTCCTCCCCGCCCCCCAAAACAATTTGAATCAGCCAATGAATTACTGGAAGAGGTATCAAAATACAATGATCTCTGTGGCACAAAAAATAACTGAGAACTTAAAATGAGTGATGTGGCTTTAAAACTAGGAAGATGCAAATGTCCCCAAAAGAGATGTGTGGTTTCAAACAGAAGTATTTTTTAACCTCAATTGCTTGGTCTCAATATAAATATGGATTTTTAATTTTTCAATATGATTGCTAAAAAAAATTGGGGTAGATAATTCATCTTGGGGTGAATTGGGGATATCCAAAACTTGGGGATATTCAACAGTTCAAAATCTTTTCAATGTCTTCACTTCAATCACAACAGAATGAAGGAAGTTATAGAAGCAGTGAAGGAGGAGGCAACAGAGATTTTCAAGGTTTCTCTATGACAATAAATAAAATTCATAGTATTTTTATAAGATTTTTTTCTATTGGGGATTTTGTGAACTTTTCAGTACACATGATTTCTGAAAGGAGATGACTCCCATGAATGAAAAAGGTCCTGTTATTTTCATTTCAAAGGCTAATTTCTTTTGGGAGGACACTGGGCATATTCCCAGGTCCCCTAATCTCCGGGGACCTCCGTTATGCAGATTAGGAATTCCTTGCTAGCTCACAAACAACTGCTAATTGAAGGATCTCTCCAGTCTTTGCTATTCCTTTCCCTAAGAACTTTAAGGGGAGGGTGCTTCTACTCTTTGGAAGAAAGAAGGCAGAAAGAAAAATAAATAAACTTTGATTTGGGAAAGTGCCTGTTTGATAACACAGCCTGTCTCTGATTGAAGTAATAGTTTAAAGCAGGGGTCCCCAACCTATGGACTACGGCCTACTGGCCACTGGGCCGCGGGTCAGGCTGGCCAGTACGTGCTAGTGCACATGTGTGCACGCACCACCCCCACTCATGCTAGAGCCTGCAGACCCATTTGCGCATGTGCTGGGCTAGCAGCATTGATGTCCAGTGCCTGCACACATGTGCAAAAAGACCCACTAGCACACGCAGGTTGCACACCCCATTTGCGCATGCACACATGGCTAGCAGAGGTGGTGACTAGCGCATACATGCATGCACAAACAGGCCACTAGCACCATGTGGTTGCATGGCCTGTTTGCACCTGCTCGTGGGACTAGTAGTGGCAGTGGCTAGTGCCTGTGCACCTGCGCAAATGGGGCTGCTAGCACCGTGCAGATGCGCACAGCCCTGTTCACATGCAGCCCTGTTCGCACGTGGCGCTATTCATGTGCACACAAATTTCCCAGCTGCTCCCTTTCCCTCTGAGCTGCCAGCATGAAAAGGTTGGTGACCTCTGGTTTAAAGTACTGTAGGCTTCTTTAGCAGTTAGCTCTATGTTTTGGAGTCCCCAAGTAACAGATTATAATCAGGACCTTCTTTTATCTCCTTATATCTGACACTATCCTTTTATAACAATTATTTTTATTTTTTGTGTGTACTTTTCAGTCAGTTTTTGACTCCATGGTGATTGCCTGGCCTAGATCCTGCAGTTTTGTTGGCAAGATTTCAGACATTGTTTGCCATTGTCTCCTTCTTAGGACTGAGAGAAGCGCGCGAGAGAGCAAGGCCATCCAACTGACTATAATTCATAGTCTCCTGGTTTCTAGACTGATGCCTTAGCCACTATGCCACATTGGCTTCCTGCACCATTCAATATCATCCATTTTAATAGAAACTATTACAAAAATAGTTTGGTGTGTTAGTTTGGTTATGACCCCAGCCTAGAAACCTTGAGACTGTGAACTCTTGTCTCATTTTAGGCATGAAACCATTTGGGCAACTTTGGACCAGTCACTCAAACCACTTCTGAAACCAGTTCCAAAAATCTTGCCAAGGAAACCACAGGTATTTGCTAGGCAGCCACCAGGTGTCAAGACTGAATGGAAGATTTTTTTTTTAAAAAAAATCTATGCAACCACAACAGCAAGTCAGAAATCTATGTAAAGCATATGAAAAATGAGGCATGACTCTCTGCAGAAAGTTATTTCACATAGACATGTATCACAATATTCCCTTGAGAGGTAAGAAACAGTATGCAAAGTATAGAAATAACATTAAAAAAATCAAAAGAAAATTAAAGCACGCAGTAAGAAAAAGGAAATGTTCTTATATCTGATTTCCATCAACATTATTCCTTTCTATCTTCACAAAATATCCTTGTTTCTACCATGTCCATACACTCATTTATACACTGGATTTATTCTTTAAACTTTTTATGTCTTTTTTTCAAGGATCAATATGATTCAACTTTCTCTTCTTTCTGGTAAACCATTCATTCTTATTTCATATATTTGTTTCTAACCCAGCTGATTCTCTCTGTAAGACCAAATCAGCACAATGTACCTTTTTCCTAATGATCATTTAGTTTGTATTAAATGAATATTCATTCTTCGTCCATTCATTCTTGACTCTTCTTGATCTTGCCTTACCTCATACATTCCATAAATACTTCTTTGCCACTGCATTCAAATTTTATATTTCTACTGACCTACACAACTCTCACTTTCATATAACAAAGTGGTCAGAAGTATGTTCTTACACACATCAATTTTTGTTTCTTTTGACAAACTTACAGTTTATCCTGCAAGCAACATATTTTCTACAAGTGGTCCTTGCTTAACAATCACTCATTCAGTGACAATTCAAACTTGTGATGGTGTTGAAAAAGTGCTACTTACAGAATACAGAATAACAGAGTCAGAAGGGACCTTGGAGGTCTTGTAGTCCAACCCACTGCTTGAGCACTTCTGGGCACTTTTATTTTTCATTTCATTTCATTCTCTCTGCTAAACTCCTTCTTTAGCACTTTTCAGCCTCTTCTAAAACAGTGTTGAATTTTTATAAAATTATCCCTAAATTTTCTTTGCCTCTTTTAAGTTTAACTGATATTTGTTCACTATATGTCTTTGTTTACTATATCACTTAGTCTTTGTAGCTATCAAGATACCATTGCAGTTTCTTGCAACTAGTATTATAGTCCAGCATCTCCACTACTTAGTGATATTTGTATCCTAATTGGTTTGGAGGGCTGATTCTTTCACACTGTAGGAAAATGCTGCCATCATATGGCCATTGAAAGAAACTTCCTTATAAATATCAAATTTGCACAGCTTTTTCTTACACTAGAGGAGTAGACTATATCTCATCCAATTTTGTTCTCCCCATATCAAAATCCTTTGCATATTTTTGTATTAACGTAATGTTCTTTGTCTTTCAACTCAAATAGTTTGAGTTTTTTTTAAATGCTGTATATATGTATATCTGCCAGCAGTTTGATTCTCACCAGCTCAAGGTTGACTCATTCTTCCATCTTTCCGATTTTGGTAAAATGAGGACACGGATTGTTGGGGCAATGCGCTAACTTTGTAAACCTCTTAGAGAGGGCTGTAAAGCACTATGAATCGGTATGTAAGTCCAAATGCTATTGCTATATCCTTGAAGTTATTCTACAGATTTTCTATGTGCAGAAATTATAGTATAATGAACCTTTTCTCAATTTTATGTATTTCTTCATTCAAAATATAACATTAATATTTGTGCCTAAAATACTTCAATACAAGATAATAAAACCTCTCAAAA